CCCCAAAACCCCAAAACCCCAAAACCCCAACAAACTATTAACAATCGTAAATCAGAAAATAACAAAATCAAATTCAATCTAATCAAAATCTTATTAAAATCATTAATAATATTATTCACATTCATTGAGATTAAGTAATATTTGAACAGGACATAAAAATCTCTCTAAATTCCTTTTAAGATATAATTCCATTTTTAGTAATATCATGCTTGTTCATGATATCATCAATCTCTTACCCACTGACCTTATGACCGATTTTGATCATTGCTTCAGCTATATTCTACCTAGTTATGAAGCCACTTCCATCCGTATCAAATTACTTAAATATCGCTTGAAATTTTTCCTCGGTTATAATTTTTTTGACACTTATCGTTGCAGCTAAAAATTCACTGTAGTTAATCTGTTTAGCTCCATTAAAATCTACCTCATTAATGATTTTCTCAATTTCATCATCTTTAATATAAATTTTAGCATTAATAAGGGCTTATTTTAACTAGGCAGCGGTTATAAAACCTGAAGAATCTTTATCTAAGTCAATAAAAGCTTCTCTCAAGTACTCTATATGTTCATTACTCGCCATTTTAACTAATATATTCATCACAGCTTTTCTCAAAGTAGAAACTCCCCTGAACTTTCTTAAGTTATTAAGAATATTTTCATCTAATGATTTATCATTGATTTAAGTAGTAAGCAAGATTTATTAGTCAAAAATCATAAACCAAGGATGTTTAAGCACATCTTTGCCAGAAATTCTATAATAGCTGTCAAAGGTTAGCATCTTATTTATAAGATCTTTGCATTCATTTGTAACATTTTGAAATTCTTTTGGTTTTAAGCTTATTTTTCCTTTTTTAATTTTTCTCATAACTTCACCAGCTGTATCTCCTATAAATGGTAGCAAGCCTGAGACTAAACAATACAGTAGAATTCCTAGAGACCAAATATCGCACTTTTCATTATAATCACCATCGAATACTTCAGGGGCCATAAATAAAGGTGTTCCTGCTAATGTAGACAAATTCTAAAAACTTTATTATTAAAGTTTTGATACTCCAAAATCGATTAGCTTTATCTCTCCATCACTCCCATACATTATATTTTCAGGCTTGATATCTCTATGAACGACGCCAGAAGCGTGACAATGATTAATAGCTCAAATCAATTTTTTCATGATTTTAGCTGCTTCACTCTCAGAGAAGAATGAGTTTTTCTGAGCTAAAATTTTATCAAAGAGCTCTCCTCCTGAGCAATATTCCATGACCATGTATATATACTTCACATCATCATAGGTTTCATAGTACTTAATAATGTTAGGATGATCAAGTTTAGTGAGAATTTTAACTTCTTCTCTTATTGAGTCAATATGCTCTTTGAGTTTAACTTTGTTTAGAACTTTAATAGCCACCTTAAATGATGGGTCAGCTATACTCTCACTCAAAAATACTTTTCCAAACTATCCAGCTCCAAGCACCTTTGTTGACTCTGAGATTCTATAGTTGTACTTTAACTCGTTAACCCCAAGATGACTTCTTGGTTCCGTATGTAATTAATAAATATAGCTACTTTCTTCATTCTATTTAATAGGAGTAGTCTCTAAAATATTGGATGAATTTTTACAACCCATGTAATTTTAAATTAACAATTGATCAAACTAATTCTCACTTTAATAAGATTTTCAAAATTTAAACTTATTCTTGTGATTAATTATCAATCATTCACTCTCGGGGTTTTGGGGTTTTGGGG